TCTGATAGGATTTGATCAATTGAGCTACAAATTTCGTGGTTTAATTTGTGTTATATTGTCTAATCATTTAGATTGATCGTTTGCCTTAATTAAGTGAGCAAATTTGGGGTTAAAGTTATGTGGTATTGCCTAATTTGTTTTATAAACTTTCAGGAATATTCTTTACCAATCATTCTATGTGGACAGTCTCTAACTATAATGTGGAGCATTCTATATAGGTATTCTTTACCAACTTTTTCCCAACTACTGTACAGTACGTGGAGCATCAGGTGATATAAATTTTATAGTAGTGTCACAACGTCGTTTGCAACAATCGGATTCCAGTTCCACACTTATCCTACTCTCCTCTGTCCTACCGTAAAACTGCCACCAGGCGTCACTACTCGCTCCACTTCAGCGAAGGACCTCAGTCAACAGTAAAGGCGGACTAGAAGCGTTTGGATAAATTTACTAAACTAACTTTATTAGGTCTCCGTATTTTCCTCCTCCCTAGCGAGGTAAATTACAACCTCTTATATACTTGTATCAAATCTACACCTTTTCCACCTATTAATTATTCTTATGCATAACTTAGTCTTTTCTATAACTTTGTAATCCTATTAATTACTATCGAACAAATATGTGATAATTGATATTATTATGCGCTAATAATATTATAGCGCCAATTAACAATTTAAGATCTAACAGATTCCCTACAAGTGTGACAACCGCCATTTTGGTTATTACATGTCATTGGCATATTAAGTACCTTACTTCTACACATTCGTTAATGGAAGTCCATTAACGATTGAATCTCACAATATTAACAGATCATAATATTTATGATTATCTAATCGTAACCGTGTATTTCTTCTTCAATAACATTATCACATAATATCTTAAACCGTAACAAGTAGGTTCAATATCAAATATATTACTGAATACTGACCCCCACCAAATTATCACTCGTATTATTGAAGTTACTACTGTAAAATAACAGCTGACAAATACTTACATACGAACATACTACCATAATTTTTGCTAACTTTGACGATTCATCTTGATTTGAATTTACTAAATACTTATATATTCAATCAGTCGGTCTCCATGCGATTTATAAGTAATGTTGGACAAAAAACTAAGTTAAAATACCAACGACTGAAGTCCAAACGAAGTAAATAAGGGGGCAACTATCATTCTATTATACTTTAATAGCAATCTTAGCAAAATTCTTTAAGGAGTAACAAAATATGTGCCGGACTACTTACTCCAAAAACTACAATATTAATTAAAGAGATAACTCACAATTATCCTAGGCTTTTTGTCTTATCTATTTTCAACTGTACTAAACTATCGAACTACGCCACCTTTTACATGCCATGCAGAGCTTTTGGTGATATTAGAATATCCAATTATCATTCTAAACTGCTCAAAATTAAACTAGCAATCAAACACACATGATGTAAATAGATTATACCCTAGATTTCCGAAATTACTGAATTAATTTAATCATATTTCAGTTGAAAATTCTAGATTTCTACATTGAATACTAAGACAGAAAAACAATCTTAAGTTAGAACCCAGATTAAACGTTTGGGTTCATGCTATATGGAATTATAAAGTAACTTTTATGTTCTACTGTAATTAATGATCAAAATTAGCACATATTTATTCGATTGACTAAATGCGAGTACATCGCTTGAATTACAAACTCACAGTATCTTAACAAAAAATTATGGTACTGATTATCATGAATTCTAACCTGAAATATAAAAGTCTGGTTTACAATATACAACGCTAATGCATTTTCAAATGATGTCAATTATAATTATAAAATAAAGAAATTAATGCACATCTAGTTTAAAACTGGAATAGCCCCTTGAACAGTAAGTAACTATTAAATGACTATAAAAAATTCTCATTTTAACAAACGTAGTACCTCACTTATGGGATACTTTTTATAGAGTAAATTTATATTACACCAATGTCAGTTATCGACGATTTCATGCAAATATTCCCTAATGTAGATATTCTTTTCATATCAGGTATATGCTGTTGATACCATCCGTCTGATTTGCTATAATCTGGATAGTCTTGATTATCTGCAAGGTAATAAAGACATGATTGATGGAAGTGTCCGAACTTTTTTAAACGTTTAGAATAACCATAGACTATGTTTTTCTTTTCCTTTATGGATACACACGAATCTAACAAATCTCCCTTGAGTAAATCAATAGTACCAGACCCATTGCTAGCGCAATCTTTCTTGGCTTGCATAATCCATGGACCTTCACCGCTAGCAGTAAATCCGAAAACATGATAATCTAAATCAAGCGATGCAAAATGTCGACCTCGAGATTGACTATAAATAACTTCATGTAATTCGTATGCAAGTCTACCGACGTTAGATGACATTGTGACAACTAATGCCAAAAAGGCTGTCAAATGGACAAGTCGTATTTATGACAACAACTTGGCTAAAAATAATTCTGATAAGATTCCTCAGATTATAAGATTGCAAAGAGTTGGGTTGCTATATCAAAATTTTGGTAAAGCACCTGCAATTTGCCGATATGGTATGCCGAGAAAACTATTTTACGATGTTGTTCAATATAAATGTGATCCTGTAGCTTGGTGGATAGGTGTTCTAGCCCAATACATAATACAACCTAGTAGTGACTTAAAACAATTGATAGATCAATCTCGAAAAGAATTCAAATTTCAATCACCTATTGTTGGTCTACATATTAGGCGTTCTGATAAAAAAACGGAGAACGAAATATTCGATATTGATCGATATATGATTAAAGTGAATGCATATTTTAATGGTTTATCTAAGCGCAAAATCATTATTAAAAGACGAATATTTGTAGTTACTGATGAACCATGGCTTATTGATCGATTAATTACAAAGTATCCACATTATGAATTTATTCATCCTCCGGAAAAACAATTAACAGCCGATACCAATACTATAAGATATTCTGCAATTAATTTAAGATTTTTTCTTCGCGATTTATACCTGCGAGCCGAAATGCCAACGTCAATTTCATGTATAATTCAGTATAGTCTGTAGAAAAAAAAATTATCTCCCCTATCCTAGGGAATGTCAAATAATATGATTCCTAATTGTACAATAAATTGAAAGGGTCAAATATAATAAAATTCATATGTATAATTGATTTATTTATTATTCAATTATACCTTTAGACAATATATGACAATTTTTACTTATTACTTGCTTTCTAACATCCAAGACTTTGCGCAAATGTCATCTAAAGCATTCTTCTGATTTCCATTTATCTCATTCGGATGTAAAGATGTATCTACTTGAATATAATCTCGATAGATCTCATTATGATTAAAAGAAGCGACGCATGATCAAAAGAAATTTTTTAATTTTTGTAAAATTTTCGAATAACCATCCTATAAAGTTTTAGATTGAATAGAAGGCGTACATGAATCGAGCAGACCTCCACAAATAAAATAAATTGTATTAGATAAATGACTAGGACAATCTGGATTAGCTCAGATGATCCAAGGACCTTACCGAGGTACTGTGTTATCCATACGCGAAATAATTGTAATCTAATGACAAAAAATGTTGAAGATTTGTTTTACTATAGATGAATTAATGTAATCCATATGCAAATCTAACAACATTTGATAGCAAATTAGTAATTAGATAATCGTTTTCGGATAATAGGAATATATCTTGAATAAAGTATTTTAAAGTAGTTCTTGTGTATCTTATACTAATAAACATGCAAGTCTTTATTGGCGTTTTTGAAGGATAAATAAATTGATAGTTTGGATACTTGGTCATTAATTAATCAATAAGCTGTAACTCCTCAGTAATTACAAATGCTTGTTTTATTATTTTAATACTGTAATTAGCTAAATGATCTTAGCGAATATTGACCTGACTCATGTACTGATAAATATTGAAGAATTTTGTTTAACGTAATTTATTAACCTATCTTATATGCTGACCAACAATGAACGATTGAAATTTAAGTTATTTTCTAGATTAATTAATAAGTCGCAGTAACTTTTCCTTAGGTCTGTAAAACTGAATCACAGATATAGATAATCCACGTTAAGAGCTATGCATTGCCTTCATATATTATATCATGTATTTTGGATCAATTTTGTAAAATCGATCCAAAAATTGAACTATCAAATGTAACAGATCACAAAAACCACAGTAGGAAAAATACTGTATTTGAATATACTTTAGTAACACTGCACCTTGAATCATGATAGTATCATAGATAAAATCATGAAACAACACAAAGGTGTAAAAAGCTACGGTAAAGATAAAACTTTAGTAAAATAATGAGCTTCTACTATAGCATCATCTATCTAATCTTTAGCTAATAAATTATTAAGCTCTTTTATACTTTTTACAAGGTTCGCCAGTACACAGGCAATAATTAAAATGTACGTAAAATTGTATAATCTCAATAAAACTAGTTTAATCAACATAGATTAGTGTGAAAAACAACTTTGTTAATTGATTCTGTACGCTAGTCAGTTGGTACTGACATACTGCAGCCCCTCTTATTTGATAGTCTAATTGCTTATTTTCATAGTCGGATAGGCTGAACAATATTGTGTGTGGAAATGATAAACGTATATTCAATTGCACTCGTTACACACATCTAGTAATTAGATCGAAGAGCTTGTCAAAAATACGTCTCTTATCCCTACTCTGAAACCGTCTCTCAAATGTAGCGAATAAACGGTTTACTACTTAAGGATAAATTACTGTTAAATGTACAATAGTAGAACTTAAGGGAACGTAACCGATACGCTGCGCGGTCCCACCATAAGTTGATGACAAGCATACTCTAGATAAAATATTCAATTTTAATCCTTGATTCTTTGTGAATGACCTTATACTTCAAGCTTTAATTCAATGCTCAAAAATGAACTACTAGGAAATTAACAATATAAAAATTATTGTTTCTATTCAATTTAAAGAGATTGGTGTATATATATGAACTTCATATATGAACGTGTGTATATATATACAATATCATATCAATGAAAAGTATTATTACATCATCGAAATAATAATATTTTATTCATTTTATTCACGTACAATAATATGAAATGGTTTCAAGTTTTAATGATACTATCTCAATGCAACGGTGCACAATTGTAAATCCAAGTAAATATAAATGTTCTAGGTTATAAACTCAATAAATAGCAATATTGATATATCATAAGATAACTTTAAACATTACGATGACAAGAAATTCGGTTATGTAATTTATTTTAAATGCGCTCATATCCCGAATACAATAATAATAATAGGTAAACTGATTAAACTAATTGGATTTGATACTATATTAGTCACTATGTAGTAACTATACCAATGTCTTGTAGAGAGCTCTTAGGTTCAATTTAAAATCTTTTCATACGCCTACAATATGGTAATGTCGCGTAATGCAATAAAATCTATCTATACAAATGCTATTTAATCATACCAATCCTAGAATCTTAAAGGCCGAGTTGTTGCCACTCCTTCATTTTCACTAATTTCATTGGTTATACTTGAGTAAGCGGAAAAGCGCTCCAAATTTCGTTTCCTGAGTACCTCTGCTAGATTATGTTCAACTCTTTGACAACCCTAATATAATAAAAATATTTCATAATTCAAGCTCGATTTTATATTTGCTTCCATGAAGTAACGACTAGCAAAAATTCAATAATTAACAGTATATAATGTAATAAGCAAACCTCGTCAATAAATGTAGACATGAAGTAACGACTAGCAACAATTCAACAATTAACAGTGTATAATATAATAAGCAAACCTCGTCAATAAATGTAGACGCTAATACTCTTTCATGATCTGCGGTCGGTAAATTACTACTGATTGCTGTACTTGCTCTAGATAAAACTGCAGCCATTGAGTAAATGTCAATTGTAGCGTTGGCTATGCGGTTTAATATAAACTGCTGATCGATGATATTACGACCATGTTTAAGTAGTATCCTTTCTATCGTAGCACCAAATTCTTCAACGCGTTGTGTAATCATCTTAGCACAATCGCTAAGTTCAGGTGCAGTTACTTCGAGTAGCTCTTGACTGTCAGCAATACCTATAAGACGTTTCGATCGTTTAACACCTTGGTTCCATAATGTACCCAAATTGGAGATTGGCTGTTGTAACGCTTTCTGTAGTTCTTTCATATTCTTTCCAGCATACTGAATACCATTTAAGGCAATAAATAGGCGCAATGTATCGTTGGCACCTTCAAATATACGATAAATTCGTACGTCTCTCATGAAACGCTCTACTTGATTTTCTCTCATAAATCCCATACCGGCTAATATTTGTATGCATTCGTCGCATACATTCCAAGCTGATTCAGAACTTAATACTTTACTTATAGCAGCTTCCACCTGGAATTCTTTAATGCCTCTATCCATATTATTGCTAACAGCATAGGCGACCGATTCGACAGCATAATGAGTAAGACCCATTTGAGCAATTTTTTCTTGTATCGATTGATATTCGATTAAATGCTGGCCAAATTGAACCCGATTTTTAGCATGTTCAATAGTTTTAGTCACTAGCATTCGAATTACACCAGACATGGCGGCTCCCATAGCAAATCGACCTTCATTGAGTATATTCATAGCTACTTTAAAACCCTCACCGACTTTACCTATCACGTTCTCTACTGGTATTTTTACATTATCGAAATAGACTGCAGCCGTATTGGATGATCTTATTCCCATCTTTTTCTCGGGAAGACCGCTAGTAACACCGCCGAAATCTCTCTCGACTATAAAAGCTGTTACAGCTTGAGATTGTTTATCGGAATCGTCCTTCTTGAAAGGAACCTGAGCGAATACAGTCATCACGTCGGCTATACCACCATTGCTAATCCATATTTTGTTCCCATTTAATATATAATGCTTGCCATCCTCATCAAGAACAGCCGTGCTACGAATAGAATTGGCATCCGATCCAGCTGAAGGTTCGGTTAAACAAAATGCAGCAATTTTCTCGCCAGTCGTTAAACTTGGTAAATACTTTTGTTTTTGTTGCTCGTTACCGAAGAGTACGATCCCTTTATAACCGATGGCTTGATGGCCGGCCATAAATACGGCAATGGATAAATCAAAGGATCCTACAATTTCAGCTAATCGTGCATATTGTGTATTCTTTAATTGCATCCCCCCATATTCTTGAGGTGCCTGTATACCGAAACCACCAAGTTCTTTGAGTGCTTGCAGCGATTTATCAGGTAGTTTTTCATCTAGATCACATTGTGAAGGGTCGTGAATTTCACGAAAATATTTCTCAAAGGGATCAATCATTAGTTTGACTGTATCTTTGGATTCATCATCTAATGCATCAGGGTAAGGGAATAGCTGTTGTGTTTTGACCTTGCCACGATACAGCCCTAAAGCAAATGAATCATCTCTATCACGGCTTGATGGTGGCTGGTCTGATAGAAGACGTACACGATTGATTGTCATAGCATGATGATGAATTTTAATGTTATGATAACAGTAGCGTCCAATTCTTGGTGTTGAATTCAGAATAAATCGAAGTTGAGACATGACTGTTGTGATTAACGATCGATTCTGTCTGTACTGTAGTAATCAAGACGAAATGCGAATCAATTTCCAACTGTAAACATACAAAGTAAAAGCTCTCCTCTAGATCAGTTAACCTAACGATTTTCCCTGAACCAATTTTTACTACTTAGCAATAGATTTCAACAAGATTTACCACAAGAAATAGGATAGCAATATCGTTTCTCTCTCAAGTAGAAGTAGAACGATGAAAGAACACGCTAATCGCTTGACCGCTTGGCTTTCTCGATGACCTCTGAACCGTTAATTAGACTACGTCAATAATTTTCATCGTAAGTCCTGTACAGTAATTGTTGTGCGCATACGCTAGCCGGCCACCCTTGCCTACGTATGTTCGCTTTATTAGCCATGATAGTAGTCGATCGGGTAGAAGACAACATGGAGTAAGGAGCAGAGCCTATAGCATTTTTGGACCTCTTTCAGATACAATAAGACGATAGTATGCTATCCACTATAATACTTTAAATCAGTAGAGAAAAGTAGATGGAGCATGTGATGGCAAATCTGTCAACAAAGTTGGACTTTGAACTGACAACAAGCATTATTGTGCCGTACGGTCTAATGCTGTTGTCATGGACGACTACTGCACATGAATCAATGAATCAATTGATAGCTATCGTTCTTGGTAAAACTTTGAGCTTTATATTGGATTAATTTCACCAATAACTAAATTGGGGAAATGAGCATGTCTTTCGTAAACGAATCATCTATCGGTAATTAGAGTCAATTGTGTACATTACGAGAAAATCAAGAACATGACAACGAAGTTAGAGCGAATCTGGCTTTTACCAACAGTCGGCACGATACGGTAGTTCAACCTCTGGCGCTTTTATGCCACAGTATGCTAGGCCAATATGATTTGGAGCAATCAAGGTTTCAATTACTTACAGCCTTAGGATTAGATTAGGCTTAGGTAGGCCATCCCATTCTATCAACAATTGTTTCAATACTGCGATCAAATGGACCCTAAAGTTCTTTTTGAATATTTCAAGTATGTTACGGATCGACAAGTATTTGGAAACTCATTAGGACATTTGATCGCAAGTATTAAAACAGTTTTGGATAAAATGGGATGGTCTAGGGTTAGAGTTATACTATCTGAGCCAGCTTATACACAAGAATTACTCTACACTTGAGTAAAAAAAAGCGCTTTATTACAATAAAGGGCTCTTGTTTTCGTCAAATAAGTTCTCATTATGATATCCGATAATGCCATTGATATAGTTTCCTCATAACTGCATTCAATTGTAAAATGATTAATTTCTTCGGTTTTTTGATTTGAAAATTACAGAAAAGCAAGGTACCAACTTGTTTTTCTAATTATTATTAATTGTGAAACAATTTTAACAGATCTCAACTCAATGAAGCGGTTAGAACCATATCTTCCGTCATTTTTTGCATCAATTTTGAGGTATCTTGTGGTTTGATCGCAGAAGGCAAAATTAGTGGGATTACCTACCTTATTTCCGTTGATAGATCCAGCACTGATGATTTGAAAAGATCTACCCCAAAAATAATGCCTATCGGGTTGATATCCAAGTAAACAGCTAAACGTATAACTGCCGTCTTTATGAAAACATGATTGTCTACATTAATGCGTACTATTTTCATATTCATCATAATCATAACATTTGAGCCATCAACTATATAGCCTACTGGACATTGGTGACAAGAATAACCAATTTGTGGAGCGACATGATCCGTGTAGGTAAAATTATAATTATTCAAGTAAGAGATTTGTCAGCATGAGTAACGGTAATGTCATTTCGGCAATATTTCTAAAATAAAGATCGCAACAAAAGAACCGTAGGATAATTTAGTAATATCCACATCTGTATATTTTCGTGTTTTATTTTGACTTAGACTATCCATATAAAACAATAAAGTTCTTTTAATTATAACGCCTATATCCGTCAATTTAAGTAATTTTTGCAAAATGGTCAGGGCTACTGTACAAGTACAATATTAGCTTAAATTTCTGTTGTGCTAATCCAGCAAACCCAGTGGCAGCAGATAGCGAACCATTCCCTATAGAAACAAGACTATTACATCATACCAACAATTAATTATGGCGATGTTTTATGTTAATGTGCACGATATTACGTTTGATTTTTTCTTCATGAATAAACACACCGCATGAATTACAATGGCTATTAAAAAAATAAGTGCAATTTCGGTAATATGTTGGAATATGCAAGTTAACGGTCATCATCATCCATTTCCATCATGCCGTTATCCAAAATAAAAATCCTAAAATTTTTATATTCACGATCTTTCCAATACTTTCCTCAGCTATAGACATCTTTAATTAAATACTGTGCTATATAGAAATCTTTCTTTCGTTTTAAAAATCTATAGCATCAGCACCTTAAATCAGTTGTATTTACAGCGTGGTAATTTTTTCCATTAGGTAATATCCATGGAATACATATCTAACATAAACTTAGTGAAACCTGATTAAGTCACACTTTCATGCGAGTACTTAATTTTCTTAACACTTAAAACTTATGATAGCGTTAAGGCACCCTATAAAAATATTCTATTTTATTAGCATTTAAACAATAAATTCTGAAAAGATATTATATTAAAAATAGTCAGCAATACAGTTTTTACATGGAATGAGAATGCAATAAGCAAGATTAGAATTTTTCATTACCTAATAAGTTGGTAACAGCATATGAGCAGTCTCAATTCTGAGTAAAACTAGCGTAGATTCGCTTCTATTATAAGATTTACATCAATTCTAAAAGTACATAGATTTTATTTTAGCAGTCCATGGTACATCAGAGAGATATGAGAACAAAAACTGTTTCATGTTACATGTAAGTAAATTAGAAGACAGTATCACAATTAAAATAACTTATTACACGTTTAGGTTTGAAATACAATTATCTTCTAAGCCAATGTGAGAAATTCACTATACTTTTAAGCTTAAAAAAGCTAATAATATCTGTGTTGCGTTTACGTGAAGGTAAGTCTAATTACAAAATGTCGGTTGCATTCTAAATTGAATAAGTGTAAATGATTATGTTCGCAATCTTATTTTTCAACGTGTTAGGCTACTTATTCTTTCATTAATTACGTTGTATCTATAGAATTAGTTCATAGTCCTTGATTTGTAAGATCTGTTGTTGTTGTAAAGAAATTTACTAGTCTACCAGAGTTTATTATCCTATTACATAGCATTTCAAACCGAAAGGAAACTATTTAAAAAATCTGCTACTATAAAATTTACTCTGTGATTTACATGTTGAGTAAACTAGACAGAATAGATTTTGTTATGCTATATAGATATGATAAAAGTTCTAAGAAACTTTAGAGGGATTGTATTTATTTACATAGTTAGAATTAAAACTAAACCTTCTTAAATTTGCGATATCCTAGCAACTAATACCGTACAAATTCGTACGAAAAGCAATACGACTACATAGGTAATGGAATTAACGCCAACTACAAGTAATTAAATTAAAGCCATGGGATTATATTAATAAGTACTAAAAAGTTGCACACAACATATTCATCATGCATATAGTTAAGATCAAATTAAATTTCCACTTTTAAGTATTTAGAATTTACAATATAATTTAAACTGAAATAGCGTTAAACGTAACTAAAGACCTGTGCTAAAAACGGTACTGAACTAAGTCTACGCAGATGAGATAGAAATAATAGCAATAAACGACTAGTCGCAAAGTATGGTAATTAGTTTTTCATGTTCATATGACATTTAAACCTGGATCAATTCCAACTAACGATCACAAATTCCTTTATTATTATAATCAATTTTCATGCGTCTTAAAATGTGCGAAATTAGTTGTGCAATGAATGTGATAAATATAAATACAGATTACTATATTCACGCGATATAGTTCAAGTCATGGCATTACCTTAGAAATGTTGAACCTGATTATAATGATAGATTAACGGAATTAGTAAAATAAATTAACCATTCTATTGAAGAAGTGAGGGCATAGGGTACTGTAGCTATTTATGCCTACTTATATTTCAGTACTTAATATCGAATACGACAGCGTAATAAGAATTCTTTATCTAAAGTTTATGTTCGAATAAAAAGATGCCTTATGCCTGAGAATTGTTCTGAAATGATTAGCAATCATACTCATTATTTATATAAATTTGAGGATTAATAGTTCAGTCATCAACAAAACAAAGAATTAAATAACGTAAAAGTTTCCTAAAATGTCTCAGAAATACAAAATTACTTGAAAAACTTTTACCTAAAAATTTAGAAATTTTCATGTCTGATGAATGCCTAATAAGAACCATTATTTCGATAACAAAATTATGAATCTTAATCATTACCCTGGATATTAAAAATTTTTATTCCATAAAAGTATCGATGCACATACATAAGAGCATAAGTGTATATTTTAAAACTACTCATAATTATGTTCAGACTTAAAATTTCATAAAGCTAAACACTTGGAATTGAAATACATCACGATTAGAGCGAGGATTGCTAATAATATTATAAACTGTGTCACTAAGATCGATGCCACTACGGGACGTAATTATTAAGAAGCCCATTTCAGTATTATAAGTAATCATGATACCATCAAAAGCTAATGGTTACGTTACTACAACCATTTAATAATGCTATGGCAGAAATATTCCCCCCCCAAGAATAGCTATTAGTAAAAATAACCAGAGTAAGCAGGTAAAAGCATACTAGTAAATGGTGATAGAGTAATGGAAGCTTAATATTGCTATTTTAGAAATACAGATTAACTACAGAAAAATACGTCGGGTAAAAATATTTACGTTTACATATTAAGACATACTGTTTTAGGAAAATTGTAGGTGCGAACAAATGATATCGAATTTATACAGCGCTATAATAATAATTGTTATTAGAATGTATGAATGAAATTTTTAGTTTACGATAAGAAAAATTCTATTTAAAAAATTTAGTTTGATTTATAACATTTATGAGAGAAGGAGTAGCAAAAAATTTTAATAAAGACAAACACTTTCTCCGTCAATTTTGCTATCATACGATTTCAGGTGAAACAAAATATTAAAACCGGACCGAATCTTCCATACTTGATGGTGGAGTTTCAATCTGTATCAGTGGTAAAAAATCATGGTTATGATAAAGTGCGTATAAATTAATTGTAAACATACAGTGCATATATTTACACTCCATTTGTAAAATAGGAAAATTTAGGTAGTGAGCGAATTTATAATGAATAAATTACATCATGAATGTGTCTAATGTTTCTACTTGCCATTACTTCCTCGTAAGCAACGTTATTTACATCAGTATCTTCGTAAACATTAATAGAATCTGGCTCTGGTGGCCCAGTTTTTCTAATCATAAAGGTATTCGAGTAGTAATTATTAACTGCATTATAAAGTAGCTTAGAAAGGAAATATTTATGCCGCTATGAAGTATATCCTAAACTAATTTAGAAGCACTTTAATAGGTTATTCCATCTTTTAATGGGCTAATCCTTATTTAGGTAACTACTATCAAGTACTGTAATATAAGTCATAAGAGTACCGCACAGCTAAGTTTAAAATTATTTAGTTAGCTGAATGATCCTCTTAAAACTGTAGACATTTATCGAATACATGAACTTCGCCAGTAAGAATACAAGCTAAGCTAACGTGATTACAACATCAAACAGTAATAAATGCTTTGTACAGACTATAGAATAATGTTATTGTTTATTACTACTACTAAAATAATGTAACCATTCGTACGATGAATAGTTATCACATTTTAAGGAATAGCTGAAGCGAAAGCCTTGCACCGTATGAAAATAACTCCAATTTATTTTAATGAGTCAGAATAAATCGCAATACCTTCTGGATGTAAAAGAATCACCGCGACCTGTATCCATTGTCTTTACTGATGATTTCTCCTATTTGATGAATTTTAATAAAAATTAATTCATGCTCAGCATAATTTTAGTACGTAGTATTTCAATACTTTATTATTGTCGTAGTTTTAGTAAATTTCAATTTAAGAAATAAAACTATTTGCTACGTTTAAGTGCTGCATTTACCCAATCATCATTTTTCAGAATTATCTTTTGAATGCCATAAAATACAAATACATACAGTCCCTAATTGATAAAATATTGTTAATATATTGTGAAGTAATCTAGTACGTGAATTAAATTGTCTACATATTTACAACTCCGAAAGTCTAAATATCTATGTATGGCATTCATAATAATAGTCAGCTTTAAATTAGTTAAAGAAATCAATAAAGAAAAAGAAAAGTTCCAAATTAATCCAATACCTGTAGAAAACTAAGAATTGCGAAGGCATATTGCAATATGATATGATTATATATGATGAACAAAACAAATAAAGTCCAACCAACAGCTATCAATAAGAGCAGAAAAAAGGCCCTGATCAGATAATGCCTATGAACCCAAATAAATGAAGCGAATATATTAGGATACTAGTTAATCTTAATAATTCATTGAATCTTAGTATAAACTATAAAACAGCAAGCACTCGCGATACTGACTTATAAATAGAAAACTCTTCCTGTCCCTTCTCTAGATTTTCACTTTTCGCATTTGTAAAATTCTTACTGGCAAGTATAATTGCCATTATAGTTATCTATTTGATATTTGGTCATAGAAAAAAAATAATTTCTTAAGTTTTACAAAAATTCAAAGGACATCCAGTCTTAGAATGGATAAATCAGTACGTCCAACCTATGGACTTACAATTGGCTATTTTTATATCAAAAATTTCCAGTACGTTTAGTACTAGATCTTTTGTTTATTTTGATAACATCACTAATTGAACTTTTAAGTAATAATATTGTATAAGCAATTAAAATGGATGACTTAAAAATGTTTGCTTATATTAGATTATAGCCTCTGATACACAGCTATTATTTTCAAAAATGGTTTTTAAAGTATGGCAGTTACTTAGCTAAACAGAAAAATTAAAGGAGGTTTTTATCAAATACTATAACTGAAAGAATAGAATATTTCTTACGAGCGTCATAGACAGAGTCAAGCCAATAAATCCAGAAATTATGAGCGGTTTACTTCTTAACCAACACCTAGGCATTTTTAACAATATAAATACGATAGTGAAATGAGCTAAATAGTAATGATTGAATTTCAAGCATTATATGCAATTACTGCTACTTAAAAGATAAATTATAATTGAACAACAATCAGGAGCTATACATTTTACATTCTTACACATTATCTGTAAGATAATTCTTAATCCCCGTCAGAACAATTGTCACCACAGCAGTTGCAACGGCTGCCACTAATGGCAAAACTAGTTAGGGAACAAGAACGCGTTTATTAGTGAGAAAAAACAGGTTATAAATTTCATTGGTCAATCTATATCATTCTCTATTGCAATATGAAAATTTTAAGCTACTGTGCGTTATGGCACTGTAAATATCTGTATCAAAAATAAGTACAATTTCGATCTAGTACACTTACTATAGCCAATGCAACTGTACAGCTTGTACATCTTTTTCGTTAATCTACGAGTTGATTGCATTACTAGATGGATGGCCTGGCACATCATCCAAGCAAAAGCTGCCAGTATGGTAAAATGAAGGAGTGTTGCAATTCCGGCGCACAGTTGCTAAAAAGAATATTATTTGGTAATCATTATTGAATTTTATGGCTATTAATTTCATCGTACATCAGGCATGATGTCTATAATAATATTTTCGATATTTTAATATCAGAAACTTTCTCGCACTGATTCATTTACCGCTGGCTGAGTATGCGGTAGGCCAATAATGGTAATTATATTAGCAAGCAAAAGCCAGACAAAGATATTGAGATTTATAAATGTAAGCGTTTTCCTATTTTTCCTATAATTAATATAATTGAGCAATTAAAGTTAAGTACATAATGCATTAAATAGCAGTAGCTAGCAAGTAAGTATAGAAGAATCAATATTTATATACCACTGAAACGATCTAGATGTAACGGTTGATCTAAAAAAATTTATTAATCTGTTAGCGCTAATGATATACAACGTTTAAATGCAGTGCTATATTACTTTCATCCATCTTTCACAAATAGGATAATATAAAGTTTTAAGTTAGGAAAATAATAATTTTTAAGTAGCTTCCATTCTTATGACTCGTTTAGGATTGAATTTAATCTATTAACAAAAGATTTATCTTGCAAGAATTTACGGATCATACCTCCAGAAAATAAGATATATGACAGCTGTAATAGTTAGAAGTAAACACGAAATACCACATCCAACGTAGGTAATAACTTCAAATTGGAACTTCGAAATCTAGTAATTTGATCAGGCAAGAGAATTTATATATCTAAATACTTGTATATTTAAAAAATTCAAGTACTTAATTTACTACCTACATTTTCATTAAGTATTAATTATGTTAAATTAATCATCATTTTAAAAGAAAGTTTCTTAAGTAATACCTTTTTAATTAATTAATTTTATGCAAAATTGAAATTTCAATATTTATTTAAAATCGTATTCTTTACTGCTTGAAGAACTACCTGTACATCATGGTATAGGCTGGCAAAAGTAGTTGTATGGTTGCAATAGCAAACGGTATGCGTCGAATTCGATTCCGAACCCATCCAGCAACCTGATGGGGACCAACCGCATTGGCTATGAAGGTAATTTCACATCAATTATTTTAGGACAAGCAAGCTATGAATGTGGATACTAACTACGTTATTATAAATATGCACGAATACTAAATGTCCCAAATAATGATAGGTAGCTCTTGTTAAATAATAAGTAATATAACTATTTCCATTACGAGATATTGTAAGAGTAGTAACTCACACATATCACCAATACTTTTAGCATTAAGAAGATCGAAGTTTGCTATCATAAATCACTGACAAAGTCAATATTATCACAATTTTATTTCTATTATATCGTCGCTGAAGCTTATGAATCTAGTATACTACCTTGATTTTGGTTGCCAAAATGAACATGAGCGTTGAATTGAAGTATTTCCAGCTTCAATTGGCTATATTTTAAAGGTAAATGGAATTTAATATTTAAAACGGGCTTCCTTTATACGTTACATAAAGTAATAAAATTTCAAAATGACAAATTTGGCAATAACAAAATAGAATTACAACAAATAAAGTATTTTAAAATTCATGTAACGAAGGTCAACATAAGCATTTCTAAAATATTTGCAATCAATTTATACGAAACTACTAATAATTCATATCTGAGATATAAATATTAAGCAGCTATTTATCTTCTAAATACATTAAAAATACCGAATAAGGCATATCGCACATACTTTTTATACTATTTTGCAAGATGTACAATTTATAGCGGTAAAGCGAATTAAAGAAGGTATAAATTTGTTAATGATAGTCTTACATTTCCATTTATAAATGTCATTCGAATTGGAAAGGACAAGCTTTGCGATATTTTCGGATACAATGATGCAGAGAACACATGAGAATTGACGACTCTGACGGCTTTATCTGAGCTATTGCTGCTACGTTAATAAATTACCAATCAAAATATATTAAAATTTAAATAAAAGTGGCTGTCATTGATGAGTCGTGAATGTTTTATTATTGTACATAAAAGTCCTCACAATATCTATCACACCAGTCAAAGGAAATTAGTGTATCTATGTTAATTCTTATGTAGTTGCGTTTTATTACCTATCCGTCGAAAGTGTTGCCGGCATGAGATCTTTCAAAGTTTGATAGACGACGATGACCAATTTGGTAACTGAAATTTAAAAGCCATCTCGTGAAAAAAGTTAATACAATCTACTACTTGCACTGATAACACATTCTAACTCATTATACGAGTATAATTAAAATTTTTGCTATTACATTGATGCTTTTGGACAGCTAATCCTGGTATGACTAATTCAATACCAGTGGCCAAATTTGATTCATCCGAAAACGAAATGTTAGCATGAATTTCAAAGGAGCTACTAATGTTGTAAATAAACACGCCTAAAAAATTTAAATGAATCAATCAATTTACTCGTGAATCTTCCATAATTGAAGTATGACCTATCCATTACCGACCGTCCTCCAACATTTAACATTTATACATGCAGTAACACTTTTAGTTACCCCACATTTTAATTCTTAAGAGTTACACGTGAGAAATTTTAATAATAAGGCGTTATTTGCTCTAATGCAGGTTTAAATGAAATTTTAAGCTGATATGACCACAATTTAATTATACCTATATCACCGATCAAGGAAGAGATATTGGATTTGCCAGCGGCAGTATCAAATTTACTGGCATAGTCTTCTAAATTATCCATTATAGACAACTTTTTGCCATTTGAATCTCCGCAAAACTATTAAATACCAGTTAAATTGTATTAAATGTTACTGAAAATAATAAAAGATAGCGATAAAATTCATGGCTATTAACAATTATGCATTTATCGGATTAAGTAACAGAATCTCTGTTCACTCACGAAAGCGTATAAGAAATCTTTTACTCACTTTCTTTGCAAATTTCCAACCTTCTTTATTTCGGACATTGAATAAATTACTTTGAATCTTAATAAATTTCTGTGGTGCAGTAAAACCAGAAAACAGTAGTTGTGAAAAGTTAGAGGATGAGTCAAAGTACGATACGGCAGAAACTTTCTTACAATGACATTTTTAACAACATCACTTGCTCTTTAATAATAATATAAATTTTTAGTAAAAATGCAATCTTCTGCTTATCAAATAGTTCACATGCGCACGTCTAATTTTTGAGATGAGAGAAATGGCTTCTCAACAATCAACATCAAAGAACGCTAACCTCTAATAACGGTTTATCTACTATTTGTGAAACTCGGTTAATTTTTTCAAGTGCTGATATCGTAGCTACAATATCTCCTCCAAATAAAGTTCTATTTGCAGTTACCACATCCAATTCAGTCATGACTTGACTTGTAGCATTTTTGCCCTGTTTGTCTAATATATCCTCCTATTATCCAGAAATTTTTTCAGTTATTTTAGAAAATTTCAATCATGCTGAATGAAATAAATGAAATTAGAACTTATAATAGACGAATAAATTTACCAAACTGACTATAGCGGAGACGAAGGGAGTCTTACATCCAGTCGTATCTACTGGTTCCCAAGATGATATTCCGTTACTGCCAAGCTTGCATAAGCGCGTTGCATTTCCTAGGATAATAAACCAATGTATTTAAACCATTTATATGAATATGTAAACGTTTATCTGATGTCGCAATTTCAAATTAAATATGTATTTTAAGTTCAGCATTGCTCTTATTGATGATAATTAGCGATAATAGCTACAACATCTACAGAAAATTTGGAGAAAATTGTTTCTAGAATCACCTTGTATACTTATTGGACAGGCTGCTGTTGCAATTTGACCGGCACCAGTCTTTGCCCATCGCATATTATTTAATACCTCGCCCAAACAAAATCCAGTAGTGTTTTTATCTAGGGGTGGGATATTGTCAAATCGATTATCTAAAATCAAAATTGTGCAAATCTTTATTTCAGCAGAAAATTAATTCTCACCTTCGACTAATACTTTAGCAATGGAAGATAACACTGAGCCCTTAACGTTGGTAAACTGACATTGATAGGAACCACTATCTCCAGTATTGCTGTACTTAATTCTTAATCTGCTATATCCTAAATTGGAGATAACTGTGTATACTGAACTAGCTGGTAAACCATCTTTTTTCCATTGCACAGTTGGGTAGGGATCGCTCGTTGCTCTGCATTCTAAATTGACATCATTACCGGCTACTACAGTAACGCTTTGAGGTGATAGAGTAACAACAGGCCCCACTAAAAAAATTGCAGATAGATGAGAAAACATAAATAGTTTAGTTAGCTAGTAAATTGAATAGAAGATAGATACCTGCTTCACGAGTTTGGTAAATAAGAGCTCTGGTATACGGTCCAATTCCAACCGAGGTTGAGGCAGCAATTTGTATAGAGTAATTTTGCTTCGGTTGAAGATTCAGAAGTGTATGCTGAGTATTGTTTCCAATCTTGATCACGGTCTGATTAATTGGAAATTTAATTCGAAAATATTTCAGATAGTAACCTCTAATTATACCATTATGATGGATGACTGGTGGCATAGTCCATGAAACGTTGGCTGTAGTAACTCCGAGTATAGTGGGTGCTATATTAACTACCTGAGGAGGAGCAGTAGGCACTGTTCAAATTGTTAACAAATAGTTTAGAGATTAAGTATATATCAATAAGCATACCTTTTCAGCGGAGTTAAATTACTTAAGCATTATTTTTAAGTGAAATGAGTCTTACCTGATTCTAATGTATCTATGGTATATCCTTTACTAGTAGGGCCAACGCCAGCAACCGTAAATGCTTGCAACGAAATTTGATACCGAGAGAAATATTTCAAATTACGCGCTGTACAGTTTCTCAAGCCACCGTCGAAAGTTGTTTCATTTAAATAAAGTGTACGATTTTCGATAATATTAAATTTCATGTTATTCAGGAATAAATAATATCCCAATATAACTCCATTTCTATTCCTTTCTTGGATAACCTAGTAATACAAATTTTAAAAAGCATAAAACTAATTAGAATGGCATACATGAGTAGGTGAGTTTAGTCAGAGATGGTCGGTATTCATATTAATTGCAACCTGCCATTGGATCTGAACACTGTTATTCGATACACGGAATAAAATTCGTATTTGAGGACTTGTAGTAGGCGCTAAATATGATAAGTAAGTTTTAACTCCATAAATACTGCGGCAACAAGGATATGCTAGATGTAAATGATTCGAAATAGCTTTGTACACTTTCATTACCTGCTTGATGAGTTTTTGCAGAGATTATAGGGCTTTCAGGCCCATAGCCGACTTTTGTAGCAGCTTTGATAGTAACATTATACACAGTATATGGTGATAACGATTTTATTAACGTATTTTTTGTTGCTGTATTAACCTGAATAGAGCCATGATAATCCCACATGTCAGAAGTATGCCAATAGGTTACGGTAAAGGAAGTTATTACACCGTTCCAATCTCTCTCTGAAAGAGCTTGCCAAGAAACGACCAGACTTGTAGCTGATGTTGCTACGACATTACTCTTTGTTGGATAGGAGCTAGGTACTGTAACATTAGATAAATTTAGTTGCAATGACATGAACTATAAATTTTCGTCAATTTACTAATATTAAGTCTCTAAATGGAAGTAAAAGCACGCGTAAAGTATTTCTATTAAGTCAATGCCTCCTTCAAACCTGCTTGATGAGTCGTAGCTGCTTTACTTGGACTGGGAGGACCATATCCAATGACAGTTGCAGCTCGAATGACGATATTATAGGTAGTGAATGGGGATAAATTGGTTAAGGCTGTTGAATTCATACTGCCATTGACAAAAATTGTATCGCTGGAGTTCAACTTTATTGAATTATATCTTAGACTATAATTAATTATATAACCATTGCGATCAGAAAAGGCCAGTGGTTGCCAATTGACGTAAATGGTGGAAGAGGATGCTGCCAACAAGGTAAGATTTTGAGGATATGACGTAGGTGCTGATAAATCAAGTAAATTAAAATCAAATTAAAGTGAGCAATTTTCATGCAAGATTTAGATCTACTATGACTCCAACGATCCTACTACTAGTAACTCGAACTGAAGAAATTTGAGTATGATAAATATCGCTAATTAAAATCAGCGGAAATTATAGTCTTAGCTTTAAGTTGATATTTGCGGCAACATTTAAAGTCGAAAAGTAGATTTAGAACAATTTACTGAGATTTTTGCGTGCCATAATTATAATCAATAATGCACGATGATGAATCAATATAATTAAAATATGAAGCATAGAGAGAGTTTTGGAAGTATAAATGAGCGTACAATCGTTCAATAAGATTTAAGCATGAATCAGTAAAAGGTATATGGTTATCTGAGATATACTGTATAACTAAAGCCATTTGTACATCAAATGAGGTGAATATTCATTGCAAAGGCTTTTATAATGTATAAGTCATAAAGCAACCTGCTTGACTTTTTGTTAATACTAAAGTTGGACACCTGGGACTAAATCCAACGCTAGTCACTGCTTCTACTGTTGAGAAGTACTGTGTATATGGCTTCATATTTTTGATAATTGTTAATAATGCTGGAGCCGTAACTAGAAGGGATCCGTGATGACTGTCTCTAGTTGAATTATAATGTATTCTATAACTTATTATAATGCCATTTCGATCGGTTAAAGAAAGTGGCAGCTAGCTAATTAGAGAGCTTTAGCAGATAATGGTTTGCCGCTAATATTTCGATGATAAGATTGAGGTACTAACATGATGTTAAATCGATAAAGTAGAATAAATAATACATTTGATCTATATAACAACAGATTTGAAAATATAAAATCAAATTACATGCTAACCTGCTTCCCACGTATTTACTGTAATATTAGGACTTTGAGGTCCAAACCCAATTATAGTAGCGGCCTTCAAGGTGATTGAATAATTAGTAAAAGGAAGCAGATTTCTCAAAGTTGCGGCCATTAAAGACCCGTTCAGGAAAATAATTCCTCCACTATTGCCAAGACTAGAATTGTACTGTACACTATATCTGGTTATAATTCCATTTCTATGTAGCATGGGTGGCGGCTTCCACGTCACATTTATTGCAGTAGCTGATATAGCCGTAGCATTTACTTCCAAAGGATAGAAACTTGGTACTGATGACGAAAACGACAGTATATGAGTATATTAAATCAAAGTTATTTTTTAAAGTATGAGAAGGCGGATATAACCTTATAATTTTACAGGTAAAATAATTTAGATGCTTAGTTATTGTAACAAAAAAGAAATACTATATGCAATTTAAATGGTAATTATTGAGACGATATAAAAAGATATTTAGTTTAAATGGTAGTATAGGATTGACTAGGCATAAACTTTTTTTATTTTACGAATTACTGCAATGCCTAATCAACATAAAATATTACGCCGTTTTTTTAGCAAGCAGTCCATTTAGTGAAGTATATGCAGTAAGTACAATGTACTAACTTAAAGACTAGACTTTTATAGTATTATATAACTGTTTTTAATTCTAGTATTTATCTGATTGATAAGTTACTGGTAAAGTAATCTAAACTAATAATATCATAAAGCACCCCTACGATCATAAAAATACCATTAAAAAGAGGTTATCTAACCCGATTGATTCGTAGTCATTGATATTATCGGACTTTCGGGTCCGTATCCGACGAAAGTGGCAGCACTCATTATAATTTTATAAGTTGTATAAGCCATTAAATTGGTTAGTGTTGTCATATTGGCTGTTCCGCTGATATAAACTTCTCCATAATGGTTCCACTGAGTAGCATTATAACGAATTCGATATTGAATAATGACACCATTATGGTCAGATAAAGGAATGGTATGCCAAAGAAGAGAAAGTGAAGTTGATGATGAATTGATTAGAGTTATATTACGTGGGTATGCTGTTGGTGCTATATAATCATAATCAAGAGAGGAAACTGTTAGCAGTAAAATATTATTATAGGCTATCCAAAATAAATTTGTTGATTTATCATCAGCAATTCCTGCGATATCTAATTTGGCATAATTAAGAAATACACTTTACTCTATGTTGCAATTATAATAAGCAAACAATTAATAGTTTGAATTCCGATCGCGTTTACGGTGTCTAAATTTATAATGCTTACCAATATTCCCCATATTGAATAATTTTCGTTTACTAAATTTCGATTAATGATACTATATAATAATCCTTGGATTGTGAAGTATAGTAAATTTCAATGATGATATTTGATTTAAATTAGGTATAATAAATGTACTTTATCATAAATTTCAATTGCTATAAGCAAACTTGTCATACGTGTATATAGGATAGTGATCGTGTATATACTGTATAAATTCACAAAATATACTGGTATCCCCAATGTTGTATGAAACATTTTCATTTACTAAAATTTATTTAATGATACTATGTAGTAATCCTTTGGTTGTATAGTGCCATTAATAAATAGTAATAATAATACATTCCCAGACAGAATCGTTACATCAAACATCTTGAAGGATTTTTCCCTAGTATTTCTTTACAATTTCTGACTTACAAATCGACAAGATTTAACTAACTGAGGATTCTACTGATACTCTCCTGACAGAGATAAGTATAGCACCAAAAACTAAAAAAATTGTTAAATAAACAACTAAATGCTATAACGCTTTCATTTATATGACTAAGACCTAAATTTTGTTGCTTTTCACTAAAGATTCTATAAGATTAAAATATTAATTACTTTTTGGAAGATAATTGCACGGACATACAAAGTAATCTTTTCCTTGTAATATCCGTAACTTGAACCACTGCATTTTAGGGCACTTAATATTATTATGTAGTATCGCTCAATTAATTTCCCAATTTAGTCAGTTACCATCGAGCAGATATTTATAATAAAACTCATTCGGTAACTACGATATATTTACCATCCTCGTGGCTTGTTCCATTCATGAATTCACTCGCTATACCCAAGTAGCCATACTTTATGTTATAAGGAATTATTTGATAGTAGTAGAGATGATCTGCTTCTAAGTTGGTCGCACTAGCTTGAAAGCTTCTGCCATCATAAACTAAAACAGAGTTCTTTAATGTTTTGATAGTTTGATTTGATCGCCATTGATAGACTCGATAGCCCAAAATACCATTGGTTATTACAGGTGGTTTCCAATTAATTTGAATACTAGACGAGTTATAGCCTAACGCTATACCTGCGCGAATCGGAAGAGATGGGGCTGTAACGTAAATTGAGAACTAATTAGGCAATATTCGCATAACGATAATACTAGCATACAATATATCTTAGATCTGATTATATTTTTATGTACACTTTTAAATTTCTGATTTAGAACTTTTAATTAATCACTATTTTTCTACGTAACAGTTTGCCAAGAAATTTTTAATGCACAGCGGCATATTGAAAATTATCATAGTAAATTTAGTAATCTTACCAGCCTCATCAGTTTTAACTTGAAGTGTGCTTGCTGTACTGTTTCCTATCACGTTATTAGCCCATGTTCTTAAGTAATACACGGTAAATGGTTTAAGACCTTGAAAAGTTGCTGATGTAGTCAAAGTAAGACACTGAGTAGGAATCAGGCTAGATGAGCAATTCTTAATGACCAGTAAAGACTGATCATTTAATAGTTCGACGGTATAATTCATGATAGGCGAGTAGCCATCATGTTTAGGTGGAAGCCATGAGACTGAAATGCTGTCTGCTGTTATGTTGCTAATCGATAGATTACGAACTGGATTTGGCGGATCTGCGAGAATGACAAATATATACAAATGATTGAGAAAGAACTAAATCTAGGCCAACTTTTTGGGGACATAAATTATTATCGCTACTAGGCACATTGCTGTACCATACCTTGAATTACAATTGCGATATTCGATGATAGAACGGCCGCATGTGGGTTATAAACTCGACATCGATAAATATCCGAATGATTATAGGTTGCTGGATTTATCATTAATTGGCTCGCTACTGTATTTTCGGTAATATTTATCTGCGTTATGATATACTGGTTAGGGCTTAAAATTAGATTGTTTTTGAGCCATGATATCATCACTGGTTTCGTCAAACTAGAACCTTGGCACTGTAAGTCGATTACTTTTCCTCTTGGTACCATAACACTCTCAGTAAGATTTTCAATTATGGGGTACGCTATAGAAATTTCCAAAAAAGACTTTCAGTTTAGGCTATTAACAAGCGGTATTAAATAATTACGGTAAGAACTATTAATTGTTTATTATCTACTTCAACTATTAATTCATTAGAGCTTAATCACTCATCCTTGGATGAATCTTAAATGAATCAAAGTTTCCAGTACATTGTCATTGAGGTTTAAGAGATTAAACCTTGACATTTTTAATTAATAATAAAAGACTTACCATAAACAATTATATTGGAAATTTTACTTGATATCATGCCTATATGGTTTGATAATGTACAACGATAATCTCCACTGTCTTCCAATGTTACATTTTCAACGAACAAGCAACTCTGTATCATTAAACTCCAACAATATTTCACCGGATTTCATCCAAGTAATTGTCGGTAATGGCGAACCAATAGCATAGCAAGATAGAGTTATGTTTCCTCCTACAGCAGTCTTAAGGGACGCTGTTGAAAATATTTCTGCGGATAAAGTATGCGGTAAATGAAATTAATTTAAGGCATGCATATTATCATGAAAATAAATAGAATATTGCTAACTACATGTCTTAAAATCAATTCTATGCCAATATTTTAGCATAAATATATATATACCGTAAACATAAAGGTTGGCTTTATTACTAATGGCTATTCCTTTAGAGTTTGAATACCGACATTGGTAATTATCTGCACTGCTTAACTCCGAAGTTGGTAGATATAAAAGACTATTCACAGTTGAATAATCAATATTCGTTATGTTATCATAATTTTCTAACGGCTCTCC